GCAAGCATCGCCTGGCAGAAGCGTATAGAACAGCGCTGCGGGAGACCGCGCTATTGAGACAGCTGGCCGCCGAACTGGGTTTATTGTTTCCCATCTTGGATGATTTGCATAGGAAGATCAGAGCACCTTGATTATTGTTTGGGTTTTATTGTGGTTTTAAATGTTGCTTATTTTATTGTATTTTATCTATTCATTTCGGCTCTGCCGCATGTTAGCCGCCCTGAGCCATTGGGAGGGCGGGGTACAAATCTAAAAAGAAATAAAAGAAATAAATACGAAATTGCCCAGTGTTCAGGAGTCAAAGCTCGCTTCGTCAGATACAGATGCCAGTCACCGCCACAGCTCTTAAGGTATTTTCCAGGATGGATCCACCTCGCCCCTCAAATGTTGAGGACTGTACCAGTCAGAATTTCAGACTTCTACCCAGTAGGCCCCTGGGTATTGTTCTTTGAGCTAGGAGCCGTTTGTCTTCTCAGTGTCATGTGAGAAGGAAACTGGTGTTGGCAGGAATGTTGGGAGTGGCGGGGATACTTTGTTGGACAGGCTTGAATGGCCGGTTGCTGTCCTTCTCCTGGATGGTGCAATTCTGACATCCCCCCCTCCCCTGGAATCCTTATAATGCTGCCTTGTAGGCCTTTCCCTCCTGACCAGTTTAACCTGCCTTTGTTGGACCAAACTGGTGTTGAATGGATGCCTGGTGACAAACATTCACTCCCCCACCTGAGTCCACAGCCATCCAAACAACCTCTGCATCCCCTTTATTCCTCACAGCGTTTTTAATCACTTCCTCGAGGTACAAAGGCATGCTGTGTTTTGTGGGGTGAGCGTGGCTACAACACAAGTCATTTCAGTGTTTCTCTAGGATTTATTTCTTTACCTGAAACTGTCTGGAAATGGCAAAGGAACACTGTTACAGAGTGTGCAAACAAATCTGCAAAATGTTAATCTGTTTCTGGTTTGTCTGCTTCAGGCCTAGCTCTGCCTGTGTCCTTTGGATGAAACAGCAGCAACTGGCTACTGACTGGAAAGCAGTGCCGCAAAAGTGTTGTAAAGCTGGGAAATACAATAAGAGGGAACATAACCTGCCGTCTATAGATACAGGGCAGTCTACATTTTTCGAAAAGTATCTTCCTCCACATAAGTCACGGATGCATTTCAATTCCCCCACCACCCATCTGAAACCTAAATAGAGAACCAGTGTCGTGTAGCGGTTGAAGTGTCAGACTAGGATCTAGGAGACCTGGGTTTGAATCCCCACTGTGCTCTGGAAGTCTGCTGGATGATCTTGGGCCAATTGTACACTCTCAGCCTAACCTTTCTCACAGGGTTGTTGTCAGGGGTCATTTCGTAGAAAAAGAGGTGCAGGAGCTCATTAGCATAACTCATTAGCATAACTTATTTGCATATGCCACACACCCTGACATCACCGGAAGGCAACACCCACCGCTGAGGCTCCACTGGACTGTTTTGGATTGCTAGCTATTGGGGGGGGGACGTGCAGATCTGTCCTCGCAGAGGAGGGAGAGCTTGTACCTGAATAAAACTTGGTCTTAAAGGTGCCACTAGACTGTTTTGGGCCGGGGGGCTCTGCAACTTACCTGGCTGCTTCTTGCTCTGACTGAGGGCTGCTGGGAGCAGGGGGTGGGGCTTGTTGCATGTGCCCGCCCCCTGGGCTCTTTACTGCCAGAGCTCCGCTCCTGTGTGCTCCTGCAGGAAATAACCCCTGGTTGTTGTAAGGATAAGGTGGAGGGGATGAGAACAATATAAGCTGCTTTGGGTCCCCATTGGAGAGAAAAGTGGGGCAGAAATAAAGTAACCAAATAAAGTAAGCATCACCAAAACAATCCCTACCTGAGAATGGGACATTTCTCTTCCTGCCTCTACCTTACAAATGGTTCTGTTGTTCAGCTGTACGTCGGCCACCTGTGGGAGTTAAGTGGTTATCACCAGTGTTCCTTCTAAGCTTAGTGTGAGCTAGCTCACAGTTTTTTAGCCTCCAGCTCACACATTTTTGTCTTAGCTCAGGAAGGAGGGCTCCAGAGCAAACTAATGTATGCAGTAGCCAAATCGCTTGCTCACAACTTTAATGCCATTAGCTCACAAAGTAGAATTTTTGCTCACAAGACTTCTGTATGGCGGGCCCCATTGCATTTTTCAAGGCAAGAGGTGTTCAGAGATGGTTTGCCATTGCCTGACTCTGCATCGTGACCATCCAAGTGCTAGGTCTCCCATTCAAGTACTAGCTAGGACCAATCCTGCTTAGCTTCTGAAATCTAAAGAGATCAGGCTCACTATCCACGTGAGGACACTTCCCTGGTTGTACTGTAGCTCAGCTACAGCCCCACATTTTGCACAGTTGTTTTTGAAGGATTGTGGGGGATGTTTCAGGTTTTGGTTGTTTTTTTTTAAATGAAAACAAGCCTATCTGAATCTATGCGCACTGTCCCAGTAATGCGTCACCAGATGTGCTTAAAAAATAATATTTTAAATCTGCTTTACTGCTTGGTTCCACAAAAGTTAAATATTTTAAAATCTGTTTCTAAAAAGGGAACACTGCCATAAACAAGTTGTAAAATGGATTATTTCAACAAAAACGTGGAATGAATTAAGGCATGTAGTCTGAAAGCAGGCCCCGTGGGATTGGTGAAGGAAAATGGTTCATAATATTCTACTGGGGGACGACCTTTTCCCATGTGTCCATGAATCCTAACTTCAGGCAAAGATCACTCCTTGACACAAAGATCTAGCAGTTGTCTTTATTTATTTATAAATTATACTTTTTAACATACACTCCCACCACCAGTACACAAAGGGCTCGGGGCAGTGAACAACAATGAAACAAATAAAACACATTCAGAAAGATACTTTCTCAGTATCTTCGCATATTGTAGAGGCTGGTGATTGTGGGGGACACATTGACAAAACTGGCATGTACGGGTGTCTTCTCCATCGATGGTCTTCAATCTTTCCAGACCAGAGACCCATCTTTAATCCCCAGATAACATGGAACCCAGTGAGCTTCAGGGTCATGTGACAGGAAGCAGGGTCATGTGACATCATTGGTGTGTTGGGCCTAAGAGCACGGCCACCAGACCAAAAGTGCCGGACACCAGGAAATGTACCATAGTGAGGAATGAGGGAGGGGTCAGGGCTATGGAAGCCCCTCTGCTACTGGGCATTCTTGTTCCACCGCTCCTTTTGAGCATGCAGGCAAAAAGAAAGGCATTGCATCCTTTTTTCCAACACTACACACCCTTCCAAAAGGCAGCCCCCCCCCAAAAAAATGGCAGCTTGATAAGAGTTCTTGACCCAGCAGGAA